GTGACTTGGCGTAGTTAAGTTTTAGGCTAGCTATAAATGGATTGCACAAATATTTAAACCTGATTAAGTACATAACAGGCTCAGCAAAGGATTACTTTTCTCCTTACTTTTTATACATATATATATGCCACACACACGCACAGACAGGCGTTTTATCATTAGCTGCATTTTAGTCTTGTCAAGAGACAACTGCCTACTGCAGAGTGACCCGAGTGACACCCGTAAAAAGGAAACTATTGTTGGTGTGCTTTGCTGGAAGGAGAAGTTCCTCTTTGGGGCAATCCTCGTGGGCAAGAGTCCTGGACAAGCACCGCTGGACAGCTAGAGGGGACGGGGGAGCCAGGGGCTGGGGCCTGTGGGAGGTATTTGGGCCAAGGGGTCAGGTCAGATCCCATTTGGGCTGCTTTTCTAGGACTTGAAGGAAAAAAATGGCTTATTAAAGTGCATTTAGAGTCTGAAAAGCATCTCCGAGAAGATCAATATTTAAAGCCCAACCTCCCGTAACTGGACAGGGATTCGAGGATGATGGGAGTGGGGATTCCTGTACCAGGTGAATGCACAGCCACGTTTCGCTGCGCTTTTTAATAAGTGCAAGCAAGCAAAAGTGCTTCCCCACCAGCCTCAGGGGTTCCTAAAAAGCCTTAAATTAGTGCATGCCTTGAAAGCTTAACGGGGACAAATCTTGGCCTTGCTGCGTACGAAGTCAGGGAGACTGGCTGTGTGTGCTTGCACACAAGAGGTGACCCTCTCTGCCCATTTTATAGCCGCTTTTCGAAACAGAAGCCTTGAAAATACAACAACTCAGGATGCAGAATCTGAAGCGGGACGCTTGCATCCCGCAGGGAAAGCCTGTCCTTGCTCCCCACTGCGCACACACACACACACGCACACACACAGCGTGCCAGGGCTCCTGCCACAGACACGCACGAATACTGGTCGTCCACGTCAAAATGTAAACTACTCATTTACAACACCGCACACAGAGAGAAGTTGTAAATCCTGAGCCAGGGTGTAGATTAGGAATCTCTTGGCTTCCAGCATATCAACAGCAGGATTGAGGGTGTTTTTCTGGCCCACCCCCCCCATTTTGTTTTTTAAACCCTAAAGCAGCCAGCCACCTGCTAGTTAAAAAGTGAAAGAAAAGGGATAATTCCCAGGATTGCTTGCCCTTGCTGAGACAGTAGCAAGTGGCTGGACGCTACCAACTGAAGGAGAAAACTCACACATGTCAGAAACTTGTGGTTGAGGGCTTATTCCAAGAGGGGAGATGGGTGCTGGTTGCTATTTTTATCTTTCCCTTTTTGGGGGTGGAAGGGGGAGCTTTTGGCTGATGTAGTTCTAACGTACACCGATCACCACAGTAATTAAAAAACCACCACCATACACTATTTCACAGGGAAAAAGAAGACAAGTGAACATAACACTTACTACCACGCACAACGAGAGCCCTGCTGGTCAACTCATGGCCTCTTCAAAATGAAAAATAAAGGAGGAAAGAAGAGCTCAAGATAGTAAAAGGGGGAAAAAATAAAAAAATCCAAAACTATCCCATTACAAAGAACAGGAAAAGAAGATCTGTTATGGTACACTCCGACTTTCTGAAATAGCCGCAGAAACTCAGCTCAGCCTTCTTCCTCCTCCTCCTCCCTTCCCCCTCGAGATCTTTCGCCTGAGGACAGAGTCCCGCTGCTCACATCTCGTTGGAGTAGGTGTAGTTTGGGGTGGCTGAGTACTGCGTCTCGTGCTGCATCATGGCCCCCTGCGCCGCCCCCATCGCTGCGTTCTGCGCTGCCTGCTGGACGTGCGGGTTCTTCCATGCCCCTGTGGTCCACTCCTCCTGGGCTTTGCTGAAGCTTCCGCCGCTCCCCCGGTAAAACTTGTGCACCTGTAGCAGGTTGGAAAGAGAAAATCCGGCGGCACTGAGCGACCACAGCTCATGCTGACCTTCCAGGCCAGCAGCAAGGGCTCCCTGAAGCAACGCGGCACCCTCCTCCTCCTCCCGTACCATCGTGAGGGCGATGAAGGAGAAGACTGCCATCCCTGTGAACAGGACGGTGGGGATCAGCATCACCACGGCCGATCCCACGTTGGTCCCGAAGAAGGAAATCGCTGCAATCCAGCCACTGCAAGGAGATAAAAATAAACGGTTCAGGAGCCTGGGGCTTCTCCTGGCCACACGCCGCAGCCTGCCAGCATCCGTATCCCAGCTCCTCACACCATCTTCCCTAAGGAGAGAAGCTCCGAGGATGTTGAAACACCAAGAGGCCACAGCACGAGTGCAACAGTGACTGTCCTTGCACCCGACACGAGAGCAGCACCTTCCTTACCAGACACCCCAGCCAGGGATTCCAACCGCCTGGATAATGCTGATCACCAGCTGGGCCATGAAGGTGAAGAAGAAGGCCATGAAGCTGAAGGAACTGTCTGTCCTGCAAGAGAAGGCTTGGTCACTCCCTACGCCTCCATCCCCACTGTGCCGCAAGGGGAGGGAGATGCTCCCACATCTCAGACCCTTTCAGGGCAGAAGTGGCTGTGGTTTAGCAAGAGGGTGGTGAGAAGCAGAGCTGCCTGCAGACAGCAGGAACCAGAGCAAAACTAAAGGCACGGGAGAACCTGCGAGAGGTTGAAGGTGGTGAAGGGGCACCCAGGAAAGCCCCAGGGCATCAGACCCTCCCTGCAGCTTGTACATCAGGCGAGAGGGCATCTGTGTTCAGACACAGCTCTCGGCTCACACTGCCCCACCATCGGACTCGACCTTCCCGCACAGGGAATAACTACACCCCTGGGGTTATTACACTGGGGATTGACCTTAGCTGCGTGGAGAATCAATACGAGCACCTCGAGGACTCGTGGAGAAATATAAAAGCCTCAAGGATGAGCAGGAGGGGAGGCAAAGTTGGCCTCTGACTGCATCCTCACCACTGCAGAGCCACAGATAAGGTGTCTTTATACCATGTGGGCCTCGGGAAATCCCCAACACCCTTGCTTTGAAGGTTAGAAAGTAAAGCTAAAAGGGCTGGGCAGAAAGAGCAGAAATTCCCCCAAATATTCATTCAGGCAGTGCCCCAAGCTAAGCGCTAACCGCTTTAAGAAGGAAAAATAAAATAAATTAAAAAAACAAGAAAAAAAATGAGAAGCCAGGCCCAGGTGTGACCACTTACTTGAAAGCTTTGTAAATAGGTCTAAACCAGCAGACATAGGAGCAGGGCGTAAAGAGAATGAGCCAGAGAATTGCCAGTCCAAAATTAACAGCTCCACCGCCTCCAATCAGCCATGCGAGGCAGCCAACGAGATTCACCGCCAAGGTGATGCTGTTCACTGCAAACACACACACACACACAGAGGGAGCAGAGTAGCGCGGACGCAAGGACATCAGTGCGATGACTCCGACCCCAGGGATGCCTGTGGCAGGGTGAACTCTAGCGGGTTCGGCCAGCAACATGTTAGCCTAGCTGGTTTTTCCTTAATTTTGCTTCAATTAAGCTGGCTGAGTCTGGGCAGCATCCTTAGGCTGGCTCAGCCAAAGGGGGTCTAACCACAGCTGAGGAGCAGAAGGAAAATAATAATATATTGCTCAGAGTTGTAATGTCTTAAACAAGTCCAGGGCTTGTGAGGCTCTGAGGATGGGGAAGAGCAGGATCCTCGCACGGAGCCTGGGCACGTTTCCACTAACAGAAGTAAACTTGTGAAATCAAAGTTTTATTCGCTTGCCTCCATCTACAGTTTTACTGAAGGAGCTTGTGTAGAGGTTCCCCAAGCTAATGTTCTCTGAGCTGAGAGCCAAAGTCCTGAATTCCTGGCCCCCACCTCCGCACTTCAGGGAGGAGGGGTGGCTTGTTTGCCTCTCCCACCCCTGCTCGGGGTTAAGCGATACAAGGGCTGTTACTATGAAGCCCAGCTTTGCAGACACAGGACAAAGCAGAGAAGGCTCATCTGCATTCTGACGCCTCCGATTTTTGAGAATGATTCATTATTTCGACGAGAACTAAACCCCTCCCACCGCCACCCGCAAGAGAGCTGCAGCTGGCAAGAAAGGGAGCTCAGTCGGGTTGACCGGGCACTTGGGGCTCCCTAAAGGCCCCCAAGGACACGGAGAGGACCTTTCAGCCCCTCTGCACCTGCGCCTGCTTGAGTGTTTGCGGGGGAGTTGGGGAGAAAATGATCCAGAGCAGAGCTTCAGAGACGGAAACCAACAGATTGGCGACTGGCTCAGAGAGCTGGTACTTGTGCTGCAGGAGAGGCTGGAGCGGGAACTGAGCTCTGTTAAATTAAGCAGAGCAAGAACAGCAAGACTGAGATGGGGAGGGGATTTAACACCCCTGAGATAGCTTCTCCAGGGAAGCACAACTTTTTCTTTCCTCCTCTTTCACAGAAAAACTATGCTAACCCTCCTGACATGATGGGAGAAGTTACCCCAGGGTCACCTTCTCAATGGGACATGGTTCCCAAAAGCCAGAGTGTGGAACTGCTCTGGGGGTGCCAGTGGAAAACAGAAATGCCAGACCTCTCCGGTGCCAGCTCAGCTCCTCATAACCTGTCTCCAAAGCACGCGGCACTCCCTGGGCACTGATATGCTTCCAAAGTTCAGGGAAAACACCTAACTAAGGAAATGCGTTCTTCAAAAAATAAATAAAACGACTGTGCCAGCTTTCCCCATACATTTCCACGTATGTCAGGGAGTGGCCTGTCCCTCCAGCTCTTCCTCCTCACCCAGGGGTGGTAAGGAAGAGAGATCTAGATTAGTTCAAAGGTTAGAAGATGGTGACAGCTCTGTTAGCACAGCACTGCACACAGGGACATGCAAGAGGAACAGGCAAGACCCAACTTCAGGGGAAGACCTGAGCCCCTCTGCCCTGGGGCATCTCGGCTTCAGGCTGCTGCTGAAGAGCTCATGAGGAGCCCTTCCAGAGGAGCAGCCTTCGGAGGGGCAAACACAAACCCACCCCAGCCTTTCTCTGCCCAGCAACTCACGCATCCAGAGGTAGTAAAGCCGCTTGGCCATGGTACGGTGCTGCGGTGGGATCTCCGCGTCGAAGTCCTGGTAGAAACATGGCTTCAAGGGGATGAACTTCGGAAGGGGAGGGAAGTTGTTCACTTTTTCTGCAATAAAAAGTTTCACCAGCATTGTGCACTGCACAGAGCTGAACAGGAATCAAGAGGCTTCCTAATTAGTCTTGCTGAGCCCCAGGAATTTATGAATTTCACAGAGAAATTAAGGATTTCCCCTCATAACCATGACCAACGCACCCAGAGGCATCAAGACAAATTTGGCTCTTGCTGGCCACATGGATCCTGCAATCATGGACACCCACAACCCCGCTATGGACTAACGAGGTGACATTACAGCCAGTAAAGCCTCAGGTGGGCTTCAGAGGCGAGGAGCAGCCTCACCAGAGACCCACTCCCCCATACCTGCCATGCTGGTGGCACACGCTCAGTCTCTTGGTTCCACAGGGAAAGTAGGGGGGAAAAAGCCTGGGAGATTTAGCAAAGCTGGAGAAAAATGAGAGAAAAAGGGATATGAAGCAGTCAGGTGCCTCCCCAAAGAGCCTTCACCCTCCCCCCCACCCCGCTCCAAAATAGCTCAAGGACAGCACTGCAAGAAGACAGTTTGCTTTATTTACATGGACACTATTCACACATCCAGGCTTACCGCCGGCACCTGGCTGCCAGCAGAATAAATCCTGGCTCCTACGGCCGAGGCTTATGCACCAGTTAAAGCAGAAGATTAAGAAGAGATCCAGCGATGTGGGGCAGGGCACGGGCTTAACATCCCACTCCTGACTGACCTACATCCAGCCCCCGGGAGAGGAACCAGGCTGGATGGAGACACAGTCCCATGAGTGATGAGGCAGCTGTGGGCAGTTTGAAATCCTCAAGCTCATTACCTGGCTCCAAAACAATTTTGTTTGTTTGTTTGTTTGATTTTTCTTTTGCAAAGAGTTCCAGCACCTGGCTGCCTCTTGACAGTGCTGCAGCTCCCATCACTGTGAGCCCAAGCCAGAAATCAGGCCGGAAGGGAGCAGGGAAATCAGCTGAAAATATCAGCTGGGAAAAAAAAAAATAATTCAAGGGTGACTGTCACTAATGAGTCACTTGAGTGCTGGCTTGATGATTACTCATGTCATTTGGCACCTTGTGCAGTGTCTTGCAGGTGGGAAAGGGGAGAGCTCCGTATCCCAGGACGGTCCCAGACCATTCCATGCTCAGCTCTGTCCCAGCAATGAAAATTAAGCAAAATTAAAGCCAAAATTAAAAGCTGAGGTTTTAAATATAACTATGAAGACTGCCACTCTGCCTATCCCCACCTGCCTGCAGGTTTTGCCCTCTCGTAGGCTATCTCAGGCAGAGGAAGGGCAGCAACAAAGATATTTCTCATGACATGGAGGGCTTCAAGCTCTCCGGAGGATTTGGGGGGTCTCTACCAGAGCAGCCTCCCCACTAGAACCATCACTCAGCGCCGAAGACACCAGCCAGGCAAAGCAAACCCTC